ACTTGTTCGGCGCTTTTTCTCTGCGGGCCTTCTCCGGAGCTTCCTGCGTAAGCCCGCTGCAAACTCTGCCCCCGTCTGATTTTACACCGCTCTTCTCTAGAAGACAGCTAACCCTGACCAGGAAGCTCCATGTTCTACCTCGTTTCTGCCTCGCAAAGCGACAAACCCTCGGCAGCAGCAAAGCCGAATTGGATTTCCATCCTGCTTGCCTCATACAACGAAGGTCCAATTCTTTTGTGGAAGTGGAAGCGTGGGAGTTTGGACGTCTGGCGGGAGTCTGGAAAAGCGCATGCCAAGCAGTCATATGGAGCTTGTGATGTTGCGCCCAAGCTGTTGGTCAGTCCTCAGCTGGCTTCTCGGCTGGCTTCTTGGCTTGCTTTGCCTTCTTCGTAGCACACTCTTTCCGGGCTTTCTCCTGTGGAAGTAGAAGTGTGGGAGTCTGGATGTCTGGTAGGAGTCTGGAAAAGTGGAAGCCAAGGTGTGTGAAAGTGTGAAAGTGGAGACGCGTGAACACCGGGTTGGTCGGTCCTCGGCAAGCTCCTCAGCTTGGAAGGTGTGGAAGGTGTGGAAGGTGTGAAAGGTGTAAAAGGTGTGGAAGTGTGGAAGGTATGAAAGGTGTGAAAGGTGTGAAAGGTGTGGAAGGTGTGGAACAAGGGAAATCCTGAGGTTGGTGGAAAGGGTGGAAAGGGTGGAAAGGGTGGAAAGGGTGGAAAGGGTGGAAAGGGTGGAAAGGGTGGAAAGGGTGCCCCCGTTTGATTTTCCACCGCTCTTCTCTAGAAGACACCTAAGGAGACACCTAACCCTGACCAGCAAGGACTCCATGTTCTACCATTTTTCTGCCTCGCAAAGCGACAAACCCTCAGCAGTAGCAAAGCCGAATTTGATTTCCAGCGTGCTTCGCAGCACGGCCAGTCGGCCCTTCCCCTGCTTGCCTTATACAACGAAGGTCCAGTTCTAAGCGTGGGAGTTTGGACGTCTGGCGGGAGTCTGGAAAAGCGCATGCCAAGCAGTCATATGGAGCTTGCGGATGTTGCGCCCCAAGCTGTTGTTCAGTCCTCAGCTGGCTTCTCGGCTGGCTTCTTGGCTTGCTTTGCCTTCTTCGTAGCATTCTCCTTCCGGGCTTGCTCCTGTGGAAGTGGAAGTGTGGGAGTCTGGATGTCTGGTAGGAGTCTGGAAAAGTGGAAGCCAAGGTGTGTGAAAGTGTGGAAGTGGAGGCGTGGGAATCTGGACGCGTGAACACCGGGTTGGTCGGTCCTTGGCAAGCTCCTCAGCTCGCTTGGACTTGTTTGGCACTTTCTCTTCGCGGGCCTTCACCGGAGCTTTCTGCGTAAGCCCGCTGAAGACTCTACCCCCGTTTGATTTTACACCGCTCTTCTCTAGAAGATTGTTAATCCTGACCAGCACGGCTAGCCGGTGTTTCCTGTTTCCCTTGCGTTGCCTCGCATAACGAAGGTCTAGTTCTGAGAAGGAACGAGTCTAACTGAATCTCGGCACTGGGCTGCACGACAACGCGTCTCAGCCCCCGGTCCTCAGCAGCCTTCTCAGCCTTCTCAGTTCGCGTAGCCGCAGTGTTTTTCGGCCCTTTCTCTCTGCGGGCCTTCTCCGGAGTTTCCTGCGCAGGCCCGCTTGTTGAAGCGCCGCCGAAAAAAAAAACAAAGCCGACACAACAGCACCAAAAACAGATAGGAACAAGGCGCCTTTTTTTACAAAGGCAGAAAAAAAGGTGTTTACGATGATCTCGGTATAGAGCTTGCGGATGTTCCGCCCCAGGCTGTTGCTCAGGCCTGACTTCGCCTTTTTCGTAGCACACTCTTTCCGGGCTTTCTCCTCTGGAAGTGGAAGCGTGGGAGTCTGGATGTCTGGTAGGAGTCTGGAAAAGTGGAAGCCAAGGCGTGCGGAAGTTTGGAAGTGGAGGCGTGGGAGTTTGGACGTGTGAACATCGGCAGGCTCATCAGCTCGTTTCTTTTTCGGCACTTGCTCTTTGCTTGCCTTCTCCGAAGCTTCCTGCGTAAGCCCTCTTGTGGAAGCGTGGCGGAAGACTCTACCCCGTCTGATTTTACCTCAGCCCTGAAAAGGAAAAAGTATAATTTCCACATCCTGGACGTCTGCCAAGCCGGAGAAGGAAGGGATTCAACTTCTACGCCTTGCTTGCTTCGCTAGTGCTTCCTCCGGCTTTCTCCGTGCGCCGAACGCTTAGTCCTGAGAAGGAGTGAATCCAATTTCTACTTCCCAGTGGCCTGCCATCTCCAAAGTGCCGCGCCATCTCCAAGGTGCTCGACAACATCCCTCTAGACAGCCACCAAATGCTGTGCCTGCCACGTAAACCCAGATGCACAGAATACTGCGCCTGCCACGAAATCTGCGCGCCATCTCCAAAGTGCCGCGCCTGTCACGTTTTCGCACGACCTGGGCCGCGCGCTCGACAACATCCAGTCCCTCTAGACAGCCACCAAACGCTGCGCCTGCCACGTAAACCCACACCCAGATGCACAGAACACTGCGCCTGCCACGAAATCTACACGCCATCTCCAAATCACTGCGCCTGTCACGTTTTCGCGTGCCCCGGACCGCGCGCTCGACAACATCCAGTCCCTCTAGACAGCCACCAAATTCTGCGCCTGCCACGCAAACCCACACCCAGAGTGAGTGAGTGAGAGAGTGAGAGAGTGAGTGAGTGAGTGAGTGAGTGAGTGAGTGAGTGAGTGAGTGAGTGAGTGAGTGAGTGAGTGAGTAGTGAGTGAGTGAGTGAGTGAGTGAGTGAGTGAGTGAGTGAGTGAGTGAGTGAGTGAGTGAGTGAGTGAGTGAGTGAGTGAGTGAGTGAGTGAGTGAGTGAGTGAGTGAGTGAGTGAGTGAGTGAGTGAGTGAGTGAGTGAGTGAGTGAGTGAGTGAGTGAGTGAGTGAGTGAGTGAGTGAGTGAGTGAGTGAGTGAGTGAGTGAGTGAGTGAGTGAGTGAGTGAGTGAGTGAGTGAGTGAGTGAGTGAGTGAGTGAGTGAGTGAGTGAGTGAGTGACTGAGTGAGTGAGTGAGTGAGTGACTGAGTGAGATGTGGAAGCGTGGGAGTGCGAACGCGCTGGAGTTTGTGAAAGCGTGGAAGTGTGGAAGCACCGGATACAGAGGAAGTAGCGGAACCAGAGATTGCGCAAGCGCCAAAGCGTGAGGACCGCGCGGCCATGGACAAAAGCGCGATGGATCCCCGCACGATATGACCGCGGAAGTGGAGGCGCGTGGACCAAGGCACCGGGCGCACGATGGCAACGTGGAAGAGCAGAACTGTGGAAGCGCGGTGCTGCGGCACCGAGACAGTGCGGGACAGATGATAGCGCGGCAGCGTGACGTGTGCAGTTGTGGAAGAAGACACACCGCACGCGCACGCGTGGAAGCGCGGAAGCAAGAGTCTCTAAAAGTGTGGAAGTGGAAGCGTGGGAGTCCGGTAGGAGTCTGGAAAGGTGGAAGCAAAGGTCTGTGAAAATGTGGAAGTGGAGGCGTGCCAGTATGGACATGTGAACACGAGCTGGCCGGCAAGCGTGGAAGTGAGGCAGTGTGAAAATGTGAAAACGTGGGAGTGTGAACGTGCTGGAGTCTGGAAACGTGGAAGTGCGGAAGTGTGGAACTGTGGAAGCAGCGGACACAGTGGAAATACAGGCTTCCACATGCTCCGACTGACGAAGTGGTAGGGTTCAAGTGAAAGTGTCTGGCAGTGAAGCCTGTCGCCGACAAAAACATGTCGATGACCGCGCGGCCATCGACAAAAGCGGGATAGATCTGTCGCCGAAGCCGACCGGTCGATGACCGTGCGCCCGTCGACAAAAGCGAGCGCGAGCTGGTCGGCAACAGTGGACGCGGGGCAGTGTGGAAGATGTGGAAGCATGGAAGCGCGCAAGGAAAGGAAGTGTGGAAGTGTGGAAGCAGGGGACACAGGGGAAATAGCGGAAGCAGAGATTGCGCCAGCACCCAAGCGTGAGAGGCTTCGAAATGCTCTGTCTGACGAAGTGGAAGGGTTCAAGTGGAAGTGTCTGGGAGTGTAGCCTGTCACCAAAAAAATGTCGTTGACCCCGCGGCCATCGACAAAAGCGCGATAGATCTCCATGCCCACGCTATGACCGTGGCAGTGGAGGGGTTCCAGTGAAAGCGCAGCCCGTCGCCGAAACCGACCTGTCGATGACCGTGCGCCCATCGACAAAAGCGTGCAGGCAGCAGGCAGCGCAGGCGGAGCGGATGCGCAATCTAAAAGAACTGTGGGGGTTGGGGGGGTGGCTACCGCCTCCTCCATGATGCAAGTGCGATGACTCAGGCAGGGGTACTTTTTCTATTGGGGGCTGGGGCCAGCTGGGCAACCTGGGGTAGTGCGTCTCGACCCCCGCGCCGGCTGGGCTGCTCAGTCCTCAGCACATGTATCTGCTCGCTTCGCACTGTTCTTGGCCTTCTCCAGAGCTTCCACCTGCGCAAGCCCAGTTGTGGAAGTGTGGCGGAATATTCTAGGCCTGAGAAGGAACGAGTCTAAATTCTATATTTGGATAGTCCGGCAAAACTTCTGGGTGGCATCTTTTTGTGCAAACTTCGTCTCTTGTCCGCTCACTTGGGGTGAAGAAGACACATAGGCTTTTGCTGTCGGGGGGAGGACCAGTTGTCGGAACTTCGGGGAAAGGCTGCAGCGTCTCTTTTTTCGCCTTGCGGGCCCCCAGGTGGCGTCCACGCAAGGTAAGTCAGCATTAATCTCATCGACGGAGCGATACAGCTGCCCTTTCCAGCGCACAGACATGCTTTTGCGCATCTCGCACAGCATGAACTCGAAGTGTAAGACTGACAGGGCCAGACTGCCGAGGGAAAATTTCGCAGCCATCGCCAAGCGGAACTTAGCACGCAGGTGGCATCCAAATCTCGAATAGAACACGAGCATGATGATAACCAGCACCATCTTATTGGCTGCTGCGTTCGAGGAGTGCTGGGACCGAGGCAGTGTGTTCAAGAATCTGTCGCACGCCCCTGTGCCTTCGCAGGCTATCAGCTGCCAAAGGGCTTCGCCAGCGCCCCACTCCGCGCATATAGGCTTTGTTCAAGCTTTCGCGCAGCAGCCATGCGGTTGTGCTTTGCTATGCAGAGCTGGGACGCAAAGTGCAAACAGAACTGCGCCTTGAAAGGGCCGATGTTCGTTTGCGCTAAAAAGTAGTTGCCGATGTCGTCCGGGGTAAAGTGGCCATCTGAGTCCACATCAACGTTTCCGGGGGCGATCTCGCCGGCGGTGGTACTGCGTGCAGTGAAAGACTTCGAGCCTAGCTTCGCCGCGATGGCCTTCGCGATTTCCACGTCGTCCTGGAGCCCCGCCGCGATCTTCCTGATGTCTAGGGATGTACGATCCAACTCAAAGTGGATCTTGCAACCACGGCGGCAAAATATGGTCGGGTAAACGTGGCCAGCAGCAATAGCTTGACCCGTGCCTAGATCCCGATCAAAGAAAGCTTCCAACACGTGGAGCCAAGACCACAGTGGCGCCGGCCACTGAGATTCATCCTGCTCCAGCATGTTGAGGAGAGCTTGGAGACTTGGGCTGCAGTGTTCGCAGCAGAGCAAGCCGCGGTGGCTGAAGCGAGCGTCGAGGGCATCCAGCAGGCCTTTCGGCAAGGGAGTCTGACGCAGATTCGTGGCTAATGTTTGTCTCTTTTCCATCATCTTATCGCATAGGACGCACAAGCTCTCTTGGCTGCTGCACTTTGCCATCGTGCGCGACCCTTCTTGGTCTTGCGCTTTCCTCGCGACTTTGCGCGCTGTTTCAGCGGGCGTTATGTCCGATGGCCGTGCGTTTCGCAGGACTTTTCGCAGCGGCGATCCATCCATGGCCAATCTGTCGACACAGAAAGAGCTCACACATGTCCTCGAGCCAGCGGAAGTGCAAGATTGGCAGGAAACATATGGAAGTGGGAAGCAGCAAAAAAAAAGTGGGCCAAGCTTCCACTTCCACAGAGCCACATCACATTGGCTGAGTGAGACGTGTACAGAGTGCTGAGTGAAGGCTTGCGTGGAAGCGAGGGGGGGAGCGAGAGAGCATGGATGTGTGGAAGTGGAGAGCAAGTGTGATTGATAGCGGAAGGGCAAGCGTGTGACTGGGCTTGGGGAAGTGCAGGAACGCAAGCCGAGCAGCGGAGGCCCATGTGGTGAAAAAACGTCAGCGTGGAAGCGCGTGGGCCTTTGCGCGAGCGTGGGCGCGTGAGTATGAGTGTGGACGCGTGGCAGAGATAAAGCGGATGTGTGGAAGTGGACTTGGCACAGCGCAAGCGAAAGTAGTAATCCAGTCAGCGCCCGTGTGGAGAGCGGATCTCGAGAAGCGACCCTGCGGAAGCGGAAACGCGGGAGCTCAAACAGCTCGATGGAAAGGACTGTAGAAGCACTAGCATAGAAACGGAATCGGAAACCAGGGCAGCGCGGAATGGGAGGCGCGCCAGCGAGAGAGCACAGGATTGCGCGAGGCGGCGCGGAGGCGGAAGCCTGAAGACGCGAAATGACGACACCGCGAAAGCGTGGAGCGGGTCGAGCACGGTATCGTTTGGGCGCCCAAACACGCCAAAACACTGCCATCTACGTGTTTTTGACCGGAGCCGGAGCGAAGCTGAAGCGAGAGCGATCCGACCCGCGCCAAGCTCGCAGAGGGCTCACTTCTGATGCTCAGAATTCGCGCCGCGCCACCGCGAGGGCGATCCGACCCAACCAAAGTACGCCGAGGGCTCGCTTTCCATGCGCAAAATTCTCAGCGCGCTAGGACGAGAGTTATCGGACCCGCGCGAGCGTCTTGCCTCTGACCGCACGAACCCCTCAGTGTTGGCGCGCTGCTTACTCAAAGGTTGAACGAGTCAGTTGTCTATTCTACAGTTGAGTTTGGCGAAGCTGAACGGTAGAATTGTGTTTGAATCACTCGAAATGCTAAATTTGCCCTTAGTTTCGATTCTACAGTTGAGTTTGCGAAACTCAACGGTAGAATTTGCATTAACCTTAGCACGCGTGTTGTGTAAAGCCACCGTGTACTGAAAAAAGCCCTTTGCTTTGCAGCTAGATTTGCACGCATGTACTGTTTGAGCCAGCATAATCTCTCCACAAGGACACGCCCCCCAAAATACTTGTCACTGTCATTTTTTGGTGGCAAAACAATGCTTTGTCACATGTTCCGGAACATGATGTGCAAAGGTAATATTTTCGCACACGTCAAGAAAAAAGACAAACAATTGAATGCCCAGGATTACCTTACCAGGTAAGAAACCCAACGTGTGACTCATGCCTGCTGCAGAAACTGACCTGTCGATGACCACAGATCCATCGACAATGGGTGTCCACATGCCACGACTGTGGAAGTGCACATCGAAGCAAACATGACAAATCTCCACACGTCATGTCTACGGAAGTGGAGCAAACATGATAAATCACCACATAACGAGGCCTGTCCCCGAAACAGCCTGTCGATGATCGCACGCTATCGGCACAAGCGCGATCAAGTGTGGAAGTCTGGAAGCAAGAATTGACGCAAGTGTGGAAGCAAGTACTAACTTGAAAAACGGCTCAGCAAATGGACTTCACGCCAGCCGGCCTGATACGTCTTGTTCTCTTCCGGCTTGTCCTCTGCAGAAACGCGCATTCCATACGTTGCACTTCGTGTCAACCCCAGCAAGACTTCTTTATTCCTTGACCAACTGCAAAGCTTCTTGGGCACTTCCGGCAACAGTGTCAAAAGCAAAGCAACCCTAGGCCAAGCGTACTGCGGCAAAGCTGTCCTGCTCCGCCCACACATGGGCACTCCCTGCAACGCAGTGCTCCTTGCAAGGGCTCTAGCTGCTCGGCTTGTAGCGAGCAGTGCGCCGCGCCTCCACGCGGGTGTCCACCGTTATCGGAGCATCCGCAATCCCGCAGATCCGGAGCGGATTCCGAAATGTGAAGGAGTCTAGGCTCTGTCGGCACCGGCCGCACCAAGCCTGCAGGCAGACATGCGCTCGTGACGCTGCATCGCCATCGAATTCGTGCCTCCAGCGCTTCTCGGAAAGACCCAGACACTGCTGACTCGTGCTGCATTACCTCGACTCCGGACGGGCCAAATCCTCGAATGAAGATGGTGCACGTTTCCTGCGCGGGGGCGTCTGGCTCTCATTTCGGTACGAGTGGAAATGCCCAAGAAGCTTCCCATGGCCAGAAAAGCCTCCCAGTTGCAAATGGTAAGAAGAGCAAGAACTGAGAAGCCCGGCCCCTCGAGGCTGGAAGGCCCCGCGATTTATCTATTCCGCCAGCCCAGATACATGAACTGTGCGTCTGGTTTGGGGCAGCAGCCTTCTGTAAGCCTAAGAACAGGACCTCCGCTGCTACGTGTCAGGCTTTCCCAACTGTCGTGCGAGCTTTGTCTTCTACGCGGCCGCAACACAGCTGCTTCTTCATCAGCCAACGCGGCTTCAAGCAGGTCTATTTTTTTCAGCTGGACGCAGGTGAACGGTTTCATGTACAGGCCTCACAGGTGTGAACCACTTGTGCAAAACGCGGCTCTTGGAACAACACAGACAAGCTTATCACTTATCATCCCTTGAAAGAAGCCTGACAATTCAACAAATGAAAGAACAGACAAACAACGTACAGCCTAGAAGGAAGATATTTCATGAACTACGAGCTGCCCGAAGAGGCCAGCAGAGAAGTGCGACCTGATATCCGACACAAAACACTGCAACGCAAAGCCAGCCGAAGATGGGCAACCTTTCTCTGTCCAGCACCCGCAAGGCACGGGACGGGAAGGCAAGGGACAGGAAAGGATGGGAAGGGGCCACAAGGACAGGGCACGGGCGCGGGAAAACAACAGGAAGGGCCGAGAAATGGCAGGAAAGGCAAAAAGGGGACGGGCTAGACTTTCGCGAAGAAACACCCACGCTTCAGAGCGCAGATCTCTTGACAAAGAGCACACGCACACATGGTAGTCTTCTTCCGTAGTCTTTTGGTAGTCAGTAGTCTTCCGGTAGTCTTCCGGTAGTCTTCCGGTAATCTTCCGGTAGCCTCCCGGCAGTTTTCAGGTAGTGTTCCCGTAGTCTTCCCGGAGTCTTCCGGTAATCTTCCTGCAGTCTTCCGGTAATCCTGCGGTAATCTTCCGGTAGTCCTCCCGCAGTCTTCCAGCAGTCTTCCGGTAGTCTTCGGGTAGTCTTCTGGTAGTCTTCCCGTAGTCTTCCAGTAGTTTTCCCGCAGTCTTCCGCCAATCTTGCGGTAGTCTTCCGGCCAAGCAGGGTATCGAACTGCGTCATTGACTTAAACAGTGACCGCTACGCAAAACTTTCGCGAAAAAAATAACTTTCGCGGACCCTCTCGCGGAACTTTCGCGCAGGTCAACACTAAGACAACAAGGTCTTCCCCTTCATATTGCAACACAAGGACCTTTCGGACGACTCTCATATGGAGCTTGCGGAGGTTCCGCCCCAAGCTGTTGGTCAGTCCTCAGCCGGCTTCTCGGCTTGCTTTGACTTCTTTGTCGCATTCTCCTTCCGGGCTTTCTCCTGTGGAAGAAGCGCATGCCAAACAATGATATGGAGCTTGCAGATGTTCCGCCCCAAGCTGGTAGTCAGTCCTCAGCTGGCTTCGCAGCTGACTTCTCGGCTTGCTTTGCCTTCTTCGTAGCATTCTCCTTCCGGGCTTTCTGGAGGTCTGGTAGGAGTCTGGACAAGTGAAAGCCAAGGCGTCGGCAAGCTCCTCAGCTCGCTTGGACTTGTTCGGCGCTTTTCCTTTGCGGGCCTTCTCCGGAGCTTCCTGCGTAAGCCCGCTAACCCTGACCAGTAGAAGCGTGAAGCGGGGAAGTGTGGAAAATGATGCAGAACGGACGCGCTGGGGGCGTGGGGGGTGGGTGTGTAGCCAGTCGCCGAAGCAGACCTGTCGATAGCCGCGCGGCCATCGACAAAAGCGTGATAGATTGCCACTTGCCATGACAAAAAACGCAATAAATTTCTGATCTGCGGACGTGGAAGGGCGCCAGTGGAAAGCGCGCAGCTGGGTCAGCGTGGGGCCGCGGAAGTGTGGATGTGGAAAAGCCGAGGCAGCAAGCGTGGAGCCAGGCGACCGAGTGGACGCTCAGCTAGTCGCCGAAGCAGACCTGTCGATGGCCGCGCGGCCATCGACATAAGCGTGATAGTTTACCACGCCACAGCCGTGGAAGTGGAGGTGTTCAAGCGGAAGCGTAGCCTGCCGACGACACCGACCTGTCGGCGTCCGCGCGGCCATCGAAGCAAACATGAACAGTCTCCACCCAAAACAGCCTGTCCATGAGTGCGGGTATCGACACAAGCGTGATTCGTCGATTTCTTTGCGCCATGCATGTGGAAGTTGAAGGGCGCAAGAGAAGTCTGGCCTGTCGCCCAACCGAGTTATCGATGAGCGCGCGGCCATCGACAAAACCGCGAGCGAGTTCCACACACACGCCATGTCTGCGGAAGTGGAAGGATGCAGGTGGGAGCTGCGGCCTGTCGCCGCAACAGAGGTGCGTGGAGCTGGAGAGTGTGGGGATGGCGTAGCGTGGAGAGGCAGGGAAGCGAGGAGCCGGAGGAAGTGTGGAAGCGTGGAAGTCTGGAAACGTGCAAGTGTGACAGTGTGGAAGCGCCGAAGTGCGGAAAGAGGTGCTGCCATCCGCAGAAACTGACCTGTCGATGACTGTGGAAGTGCACATTGAAGCAAACATGACAAATCTCCACATGTCATGTCTACGGAAGTGGAGCAAACAT